CAGGGCTGTGTTCTGGTGTGGGCCTCTGATCCACTGCCTAGCTGATAATACACCTCATGGTTGAGAACTCGTGACCGTACATCCTTCTGTCCACATGTGTTGGTGATATGGGAGACCTGTGGACAAGTGTGGCAACAGAGATGTCCATGGGTAAAAGCTGTACAGTATATGTCTGACCGAATACTCTAAATATGGACAGTCATCAGCTGTTTGATGGCCTATTTTCTGATCCCATTTCAGACAGTGACCTAAATAAGAAAAGTAAAGTAATTAACCTCACCATTATCCTGTTTTTCTTTTCCAGCTAACTATGAAATCTCGAGCATATCACATGTGACGATGTCGCCTTTGAGACCAAACAACCTTGCCTCTCTGTATTCTTCAGTGCCCCTGTCCAAAAACTCTTATAGTGTTATCAGTGCCTTCTGCACAGAGGAAAATATATCTCAGTGCATCATATACATCAATCAGGTATGAGGTGGTGGTGGGTGGTATCACCATGATTGAATAAAACCCCTATTTTTTTTTGTTTTTTAAACTAAATGCATTTCGGCTCCATGAACAATGACAGTCAGTCACAATGTCCTGTTCTCTCTTTGCAGGAGCTTGCGTCACTGGGTCTCTCTTCCATTTGTATTGAGGCCAGCTCACCAGGGGTACCTGTCCTGAATGCAGTGCCAGCTTTGAATGCCATGTATGAACTGCTGCAGATTCACAGGAGGAATATGTCATCATTAGAGGAGCTGGAAAAGGACCAGCTAAAGAAGTCCAGCACCTTGGAGCATATTCAGATGAACAATTGCAGACTGAAGGCATGTATGAATGTGGTGGCCTTAAATTAATCATTTAAAATGTTGTACACTACCAGGAGCCTGAACTGATAGTTAACAAGCTGTCTTGATCATGCCTGCTATGTGAATGGCTGGTATACATTTTTAATTAAATGGCAATTGCAAAAATGAAATAGCTTATTCAATGTATATTCCCATAGTGTCTGTCTTATACCATCCATCTTAATTGTAGGATAATGTTTTGCTGAGAAATATGTAATATATAAAAAATGTATTCAGTCCAACGTGACTCGCTTTTGCAAAATGTGACGTTAATGTGTTGATTCATTCTCACAGGATCAGTTGGAACTGTCCATTAGAGAGAAGTCTGGTCTCCATGAGACGGAGAGGCAGCTCCAGCTCAAGATCAAGACTCTGCAGAGCTGTTTGAAAACTGAAAAAGACGAGGTTGTTCCGCTGTCTGTGAGAAACAGGATTTAAGTGTACTGCATGTGTGAACCATACCAACAAACATTTCAACTCTACTGTGTAGGTTCAGAAACTCCAAACTATCATCGCCAGCCGCGCTTCTCAGTACAACCATGATGCTAAGAGAAAAGAAAGAGAAGCTGCAAAGCTCAAGGAACGCCTTAGTCAGCTACTGGTGGATAGAAAGGACAAGAAACTGGGCAAGTTTACTGATTTCTTTATATATATATGTATATGTATATGTATATGTATATGTATATGTATATGTATATATATATATATATATATATATATATATATATACAACCATTAACACATACATAATAAATACATAGCTTTAAGAACTTACATTAAATGTTATCTAAATTTTAGCTATTGATGTACTAAACTGCCTGGGACGGACAGATGGAAAACGGGGTCACTGGAAGACTGCAAAATCGACTGCAAGGTATCACGGCATTAACATTTTATTTAAAGTGTTTTTGGAATATTTGAAATCAGGATACACATAAAGTAAGCCTTTGTATTCATTTTATTTGCTGTAGCCATGAAAGTGAAATGTACAAGTCCCTGCTCAGTGATTATGAGGCCAGTCAGAAATCCCTGATGCTAGAAAATGCTGAGCTGAAGAAAGTGCTTCAGCAGATGAAGAAGGAGATGATGCACATCCTCAGTCCACGACAGGCCAGAGGAGCCAGTGCTGATGACAGCCACGAGCAGGTATTCTTAACATTTAAATCGCTGACCATGTAAAACATTTTAGCTTTGTAGATTTAAAGCTACCAATGCTGTCACTGTTGATTCTTAAAAACTATAATTTCTGTGACCATGGTAACACACATAAGCTGAAATTCAGACATCCCAGCACTGGTTGGTACAAAGTACTGGGAATGCTGTTTTATGTTTCTCTGGATTTGGACATGAAAATACATTTTGCAAAGATACACATTTTTTTTTGTTTTTTTAGGCTGATTCAGATGGGGAGGAGAAAACTGGAGACTCCAGCAGAGAAATCTTGGACCTGTCTTGTGAGCAGGCCAAGGAGCAGCTCACTTACAGCATTCGCCAGCAGTGGCGGAAACTCAGGAGCCATATGGAGAAGTTGAACACTCGAGGTAGAGAAAAGAAAACAAGTGTAGTATACCTAACAACTATGGACGTTTTTTGTTGTGTGAAAATCAAGCTTTGATTTAAAACCTTGGAACGGAAATTAAACCTAATCATATTAAATTAAAATTTTGTTGGCCAAGCTTCCCAAGTCCAGAACCAAATGGAGTCCAGTAGAGAAGTGATACCGAGGGAGACCCATGAGTCTGAGATGGAGAGGATGAAGTGTGAAGTCCAGCAGTGCAAAGAGTTCATTCATGCTCAACAGCAGCTCCTACAGGTCAGTGTCAAGTGAATGTGTCTAGAAAACAGTGTCACAAATAACAATAGAGTTTATTTAAACATTTAAAACCAATTAATCCTTCTAGTAAATTGTGCATCTAATTCTGCTTTTGCAGCAACAGCTCAACACCTCTTTTGATGACGAGACCGCGGCACTCCTGAATGACTGCTACACACTGGAGGACAAGGAGCGCCTCAAAGAGGAGTGGAGGCTCTTTGAGGAACAGAAGAGAAACTTTGAGAGGGAGAGGAAGACCTTCACTGAAGCTGCTATTCGCCTGGGACGAGAGGTTTGTGCTGCTAAAAATGTGTATAGTTTAAAGTACACTGTATTACTTTAAAGTCTACAACCTTTGCTTAATTCATTTTATTATTTAACAGAAAAAAGCCTTTGAGGAGGACCGAGCTGCTTGGCTCAAGAATCAGTTTTTGAACATGACTCCCTTTATCGACCGACGCAGATGTTCTTCGTCTGATGGTCAAAGTGCCTTATCAATAAGTAAGGAAACAGTATTTAGTCATTTTAAGGCATACATCTGTAGCAGTGGATGTTATGGTGATGATGCCATTGTCTGCTTAACAGGAAGTGAGCCAGAACTGAGAATGTCTTCCACAAAAGTTGAAATGACAAAATCATCAACCTACGCTACATTTTCCACTCCAAAAAAGACGCAGAGCATTGCTATGCCAACGACCACTGATCTCTACCGGACACTCCGCCTGTTCCCAGAAAGCAGGTACTGTCATTTCTAGTGTCATCAGTCTGCCCCCCGTTGTGATAGTTCATCATCATGATTATTTTACTCCATTTATTATCATTATCATTTATACAACGTATTTATTACATGACAATTCAAGATAGATCCAGTTACTTGAATATTTATGTCTAATCCTGTATTATCCAGTTGTTAATTTGCAAAATTCATTTTAAATTGCTTAAAGAGCAAAGTATGGAGAAGACGTACAGTAAGATAAGGACATCATTTGACCTTTAGGTTTTATTGACATCCCTCAGGAGCGGGCCACACACCACAAATGTCCCAATGTTCTATAATAATTACAAATATACCATATGTTTACATTTCAGTTCCTCCAGATACTCAAATCGAGGACGCTGGCAAGAGTCCAGCACCATTGAAGGCGAAGCCACAAGATCGAAGTCAAGAGACAGAGTCGAGAGTGGAGACTTGAGTATCTTCTCTCTTGGTGAAGATGAGAACAACCTAACTTAAAGGACAATCAGTGCCTTTTATTTTACAAAAAAACACATTGACAATGAGCATCTGATTTGCAGCCTCATCCTTCCATTGAATTGCTTTGGTTGTGAACGTGCACAAATCACCAGTTCACCAGAGCAGATCAGTGAGAACGCACTTTAATTAAGCTGCCATTGTTCATTTTGTCAACAAACAAATCAACACTGGATTTGCATTTGAATGTTTTCTTGTTAGTGGTGGTGCCTACCAAGTACAGATTTCAACATGAATGGTGTCTGTCTTTTAGTTGTGATGTGTGTTTATTAAATTAATTTATTGATTATGTATTAAAGATGTATAAATTATGACTTGTAACCAAATTAAATATTGACATTAGGGAAGTAATGGTCGATTCAGCCGATTTAACAGTACAATAAAGACATTTTTTAAAATTAAATATTTACTGTGTTTTGTGCGCCGCTTAGTGGACATTGTGGGCATAGTCGGATAACCGGAACCCGGATGTGATCATCTTTGGCACAGCCTCATCCAGCAGCTACTACCTCCTACTTTTCACTATCTGTTCACCCGTTAAAATATCTACAATGTCGAGCTCCTCAAATCTCATAGCCATGAAAAAAGTCGTACAGCAGTTGCGATTTGAGGCGAGCATCCACAGAGTGAAGGTATGGCCACGTTTTTATTTTTTTTATTCAAATAACGTCGGTGAAATGTCGACTGTTAGCAGGGCACGCTAATAGGGTTAGCCAACGTTTCGGCGAGTGCAGAAGTCAGCCAACAGTCAACAGGCGGAACAGGGCGTTGTTCGTTCGTATATGTAAAAGCAAAACTAAAGCAAATCTTTGCAAATATTTATAAAGTAACAAATGATGCCCTTTTAAAGGATTTGGTCAGTCATTAAACTTTTTTGGCTTTGTGGAGTTATTTTCACCAAAAATATTTTTCTGTGATGTGATGTAGCGTTGGAAAGAGCGTATCATTTTTATTTTTTTCGTTTGTTAAATCCGTGTTTTCCAGCTTCGTTCAGCGTCACTGTGATGCTGTATTTTAATGTTGTTCTTACTAGTATATTTGGAATATTTCAGAGGTGGAATGTAGTGTAAAAGTTTGTAACCATTTGTCTTCAATCGCCCAATTGACTAAGGGGGCTGCTTATGTCATTAACAACTGTTCATTTGCTATAGATGCATGAATTCAGTGTCATGTGCATTTGGTTTTAACCTGCTGAGATTGTTTTAACCTTATCTGATTCTCAGATATAGTTAGAGATGCATATGTATTAGCACAAACTCAGCAGTAGAGGTCAGCATTGAATAAAGACATATCCTAGAAAACAAACGCTTCGATTTCGTCTGCCACAGTGCATTACTTGTTTGTTTTCACCCTGTTGTAAGACTACTCAACCAAAGCAAAAACAAAACACACCCTTCCCCCAAATGGGATACTTTTACACGCAGTTACAGAAATTTAGATCAGGGTGAAATGTTTTTCAGATTTGATTTTGTCTCCAGGTCTCCCAGGCAGCAGCCGACCTTCAGCAGTTTTGCATTCAGAATGCGCTGCATGACCCTCTGCTCACAGGTGTGTCCTCAAGCACCAACCCCTTCAGGCCACAGAAGGTCTGCTCCTTCTTGTGAAAACACTGTACTCATTTGGTGAGTCTTTGATCCTTCTTTCCTGATACATGTTGGCACTTTGTTTAAACCTTCCTAATGTGTGTTTTCTTCTGTTTGTGTTACTAAAGGCCTTCGCTGTGATGTTACAGGGAATTGTTGACCTCAACACTGCTCCTCATGCTAAGCTGTTTTACTGCCATTGAATCCTTTGAGTGTAGAGAACCACACCGTCAGGAAAAAAAATGTCTATTTTCAGCCCCAGTAGAAAGAAGACATTTTTTTTAAATTAACACAATGTGATTTTTTTCTTTTGAAAATCGCTGTGCCTTTTCTATTGTTCTACTTTAGTTGTCACTGTACCTTACTTTTTTGTATTTAATAAATAAAAACATTGTTTCCTACTACAAGGTCTGTAATGCTGTTTCTAATGTGCTGTAAGGTTACTTTTTTTAATACCAAACTATTCCAGAGCAGTGCAGCAGCCAATAATTAAATAATCCCTTGAAGCCGAATCAGTTCTTTCTTTCTTTCTTTTTTTTTTTTTTAAAGAATTTGTAATTAGAAATCATTTTAATTCAGCTTCTTAATTATGCGTGTCCTGGTTGGTTTTTCTCTTAAATTTGAGAGAATATGGAATGTTTTAAATAAAAACATTGTTTAAAATATTTTATACTGTACCATATTTAATAGATAACCAATGTTAATGTCATGTGAAGGAAAGGGCTATGTTTTTTAAAAAATGTTAAAAGAAAAGCTATTAAAAAGGTGATACAAATGTGTTTTTTATTAGCATAGACTTCATCATATCAGCCAAAAAAATATCATCAAGATGTCACAGTGATAAAACATGGCTGTGTCCATTGTAGTCATTTTTTTGTAATTATGGCTAGCCTTAATTAAAGTATGATTATCACAGGCAAAACCAAAATGCAAAATTATACCGGTAGACAGCTTTGATTTAAACACATTCCTCTAAGCCAGAAGAAGCTGCGGAGTAGAGATTATAACTTGAATCATTTTTTGCCAAATAACTCCCTGCTTTGACTGCACACAGGGATTAAAGACCTATTTTGTAATGTCTATCCTCACCGCTAGGTGACAGTACATTTAACAGTATATCTTTAACAAAAACACAAAGAAAACAAATTAATGACGCCAGTCATATTTAACTCTCGCGAGAAGTGGAAAAACTGTGCCAATCAGGAGCACTTTTATGTGGATGCGCGAACTGATTCCAGGTCGGTTTGCTGATCCCGCTCATAGCGTGGCAACCTTAGAACTCGTAACTCATGACTGAAGCTCGGTCAGCTTAATGTATTGTCCTCAGTTCGCCGTCTGAAGAATGAATCATGGGACAACGTTACTGTGGAAACAACGGTAACTTGTTTTGTTAACCTACCATGTTTTATACAGCACGAAACAGGAGGTTAGCGAGCCGAGGGCTTGTGAATGTCAGTACCTATAGCTAATTTTAACTGCATGATATCTAGTGTCTTTGTCGCGGCGGGGACCAGTTTAAACATGATGTAAGGAAGTGCTGCGTGATGCCAATGGCTTAAGGTGCCGTGATGCAAAAATGGAAACAGATTTAGCTTAAAACTATGACTTGCTAATGTTTAAAACCCATCGTTATGAGGTAAAATAATCCCAAGCATCAGCGGATATTTATATTCTGACGGTATAATTTAGCAAGTGGATACGATGATGCTTCAGGACGGTTCGACTCAGCTGCTTTGCCTCACAGCCACGAGCGGGGTTCCGCTTTTCACACGGGGCGCCTCCAGACAACTGCCGTTTTCTATCATCGGCTCTCTCAATGGTGTTCACATGTTTGGCGGTGGACAGGAGGTAGTGTTGTCCAGCTGTGAAACTGAAGGCGGGGGCAAAGTGGTGTGGAGGGTTTTCCACGACAGTGTGATGCTCATCGCTGTGAGTGGAAGTGGGCATGGCGGTGCAGGCAGCGGGAAAGAGAAGGAAGCCCATTTGCAGCGCCTACTGGAGAATGTGTGGAACTGCATGGTGCTGGTGCTGGGTGAGGAGGAGTTGGTCAACATCCGGAATGTTGAAAGGTTGAAAAGAGATTTAAGGTCGTGTTTCAACCTCATAGATCAGCTGTTAGAGGAGAAGCAGGAGGGGATCTTGGGTAACCTGACCCACTGTGCTGACTCATTACTACCACCCAACCCTTCACTTGTTCAAGCAGCTGTGGATGGGTTTACTCAGGCCGCGGACAGTGAGTTTGGTTGCCTCCTTGTTCATGGGCGAATGGTGTCAGCAACTGAAAAGTGGTGGCGACTGGCACCTCAGGAAATTGTTCTGCTAGCTGCACTAATGCGAACACTATCAGCCTCTGGATCATCATCCTGTGATTACCCAGTTTTCCTTCCTCATGGCAGTCCCACTGTGGCTCATCGTCTCCTTCGCTTTCAGCTGCTCCCTGGAGCTGATGTATGTGTCCTGTGTGGTCCCACTCCTTCCCTGCAAAGAGCCCAAAGTGGACTGGTGGTCCGATTTTGGGCACCACTAGCGGAGACCCTACGAGAATGTCTGACTGTAGGAGGACGCTGTTTACCAGCATCCGTATCCCTGCACCCTGACGTGCTGGCATTTCTGCTCATCAATCGTGAAACACGTCGGTCCATCTCTTGTGTCCTGTGTTCTCACACTACTACTAAGCCCAGTGCTGCACCTGTACTCTCCAATGGTCGCTGCTGGGAGCTGTTGAAGCTCTTCTACAACTTCAGCATCACACGCTACTTCAGCCAGGAGGAGACGCTGTGCGCTTCTCAAGATGAGAGTGCTCAGAGGAACACCACTGAAGAGTTTGTCCGTGGATTTACACACCAGCCACTACAGTGTTACCTAGTGACAGAGGAGTGCAAAAGCTATGGACTTCAAACAGCACAGCACCAACTCTTTCTGCTTGTGCCTCCATCAGTCCCCACCTTTGCACTTCGCACAGTGGCCACACAGACCCTCACTGATATAGTCACAGCCACTGGGTTTTGAGTGTTTACTTTGCAGTGACACGTGGAACTTACCTATTATGCTGCTGTACCTTTGCTGCTGCTACTTATGTAATACTAACTGAACTAAGATAACAGTTATAAAATCACAAATAAAGCAAACTATTTCTTTTACAGAATTGTTTTATTCATTGAAAAGATAACTAACTAAAATTATTGGATTAGGCAAATATAAAAAATAATCTGAATTTTTAACCATGTGCATTTAAATGCAACCCATTTTGATTTAGTTTGATGTAATTAAATGACTTCTGAGCACTTTTGATCACTGGTCTCAGGTCTCTTAATAGAAAATAGTTAAAATAGACTATAAAAATGTTAATTTTAGTGTACACATATTTGCTGTTCCCCTTGTAAGGTTGTTCTCCAAATGCTTAGTTTTTTTTTCCAATCATTTTTTTATAATATCGATGTTGGCCTGAAAATAGCAATGGACGCCACAGTGAAGTGAGTCATTCTGAGAAATATGAATATAAGTGTACCAGGTAATATGACTTGGACTAAATACCTTTCTTTACACCTAAATGTGTTGCCTTTTAAGTCATGAATTTAACATTATTTCTTTGATGTTGATGTGCATAATATAAGAGCCAATAATGACTATTGTTGTAATATATATTTAAGACAATACATTTTCCAATGTTTCTGCACTGAGCCATTTCAACCGAATAAAAATGCAGCATGTCTTCAAAAGGTTGGCCAGAAACACACAGAATGGCATTATTTGACTGAAGATTAACATGCTCATTTCTGTAAAGTTCAAGATTTGTGAATACGTTTGCTCTTATTTCACATACCTCCTGTACAGCCCAACTTTAAGTTTTTAATTTGGTCCCCAGACCCATGTCTCAGGTTTCCTATCCCACGGTTTACATACAAAAGGTGACTAATTATAAGAACATATAAAAACACTACCTATCCCACGGTTTACATACAAAAGGTCGGTTTAACAAAAGGTGACTAATTATAAGAACATTATTTAGAAACACTAAAAAAATCCATACTGTGCATCCTCTGTTTTGACATCCCTTAAACAAATCTAACTCGTGTTTGAAGCGGATCCTTCAGCGCAGATAGGGAGGAGCATGCATCCTCCCCCAAAGTCTCCTCCCAATACTTGCAGGGAGTTGAGGACAAAACTTGAGGCGCAGTGCAAAGCAGCCACAAAAACTCGGGTAGAAGTTAGACTGCGTCGGTCAGCTGGTCCCATCTTTCTGAATCACATCCAAAGCCACGTTGCTCTGAGCTCAGTAACCTGAGAACCGAGCCTGATTGACAACGGTACGTGGAGGAGAGGGGGTGGGATGAGTATATAAAGGGGAGGATACAGTCGCAGGCTGACGCGTTGCCATGTGCGGGGGAATGTACCCCAATAATTAACTGTGGCAGTGTGTGGATGCAGCTGCATAGACGAACTTGCTTGCAGCCTGTGGTTTAGTGGAATACCTACTAGCCTTATCAGCAGTGTGTGCTTGGTTCAAAGGTCTGGGCGCTTAGTCACTTCTGCGCTCCACACAACTTTCAGATTTCCGCTGCACAGATAAAGAAACCAGACGAGCCGCGGTGCATTACCTCAGTGTGCGCACGAAGAGGTTTACAACATGTCAGCCACACGGATACGTATTTTATCCGCCAGGAACGTTCTGCCATTGGGCCGAGGACAAAGCGGTGGAGCGCAGCGGTCCGACGGTGATTCCAAACTCCGGTTACTCACATCTCCTCATCTGTCCCCCTCTTCTCCCGCTAGAGCCCTGTCCAGTTTGAGTGCAACGCGGCGTGGACTCCCGCAAGAGAAAATGTCCGAAAATGGAATGATGTCCCGGGCCAAGGTGTTGACCATTGACAACATGAACCCGACGGTGAAGAAAGTGGAGTATGCCGTGCGGGGGCCCATTGTGCAGCGGGCGCTGGAGCTGGAAAGAGAGCTCTCCGAGGTTTGTGTGGTTTCGAATCAAATCATACACAGCAATATTTTGGGTTAAAAGTTCGCAATATAATTTTTGCTTGGTTGCTTAATAATACATTGGACTGGACGGTACCAGTAGCAGCAAATTTGAGTTCTGCATATCTAAGTACAAAACTGAGACCATTTCTCAAGTTTTAACACTTATAATAATAAAATTATACAATGTAGTAGTAGACCATGAAAATAAAGTTGGAGTTAAATACCATTGGACATCACATGTGATTGACAGCAGGAGCTTTATTTTGTTGCATCATGGCTGGCCTTTACTGTCATCACAACACTGCAAAGTTCATCTGGTGCGTGTTTCTTTCTATATGTTAGCTATGAACATGTTTAGTCCTTTACCAGAAGTTCTTCTGTTTTGTTTAAGAATTGTCAAAATCTCTTGAGTATTTTTCCTACTGCAGTGTGTTCATGCAAGCTCCCCATTTGTTAACATTTAGTGACAGGGTGCTGCCATCTTTGCAAACTTCCTGTCAGGTACGCATATAATTAGTGTAAAACATTCATCAATGTTATACTTGAATTGACAGTGGGTGGATACTGGCAATTATGGGACAAATGTATTAACTTTATATTCCTGATTTTAGTACTGCAGTTTCTTTTAAACAAAACTTTACTACTCTTGCTTGCTGTGGTGTTCAGGTTCTTCTTGTTTTGCATGTACAGTTTCATTGTTTGGTTCTTCCGTAGCATGATGGATTCAGCAAAAAAAAAAAAAAAGGTTTAGATGACGAACATCAGATAAAATAATATATATAGATAAGGGTGACATTAGTGTCTGTAGGTGGAGCTGGTTGTGGCTGAGTTTATCTCCTCCTTATTTTCAGAACCTTATTTCTTTCATTACTCTTTTTAAGAAACTCCCTTTGATTCAGTGCTGCAATTCATGCATATGACATGCTGGTTTTAGGTGGAGTTTACTGTTGCAACAATGCTGTTAATTATGAATCAGTTCTGTGGAGCTTTACATCACCATATTTTTACAAAAACAAGTAAAAGATTAAGCTTTCCAGGACGATGATTCACCACTGCATGGTGTCTTTTAGGTTCAGCCAGATTGACTCTTCATAAATTCATCCGTTGTCATTTTGTCTTCAGTAATAAAATATAATATTACCATTCCAAATTACTGACACTATAAGTACACGTCATTATTATAGTCTAATTTCTCTCTTCGACTGTCTGTGGTGATGTGGCAATAAGCTTTTTGTGTACTGTGTGCAATCTGGTGTGAAAACTGCCATCTCATGTGTGCTGTGGGCCGGACTAGGATGAGTTTGTGAACATGTTCTCGCACAGGTGAAAGGAGCAGAAACCTGGGTGGACAGATGTTGTTATGACCTGTTGGCTCACTGGTGGAAGCATTTTGACCAAACCAGTGCAGATTCAAAGATTCTTCATTTCACTACAAAAAAAAAAAAAAAAAGAAAAAATTTTTATTTTCTGAACAGTTGATAAAAGCGATTTATCATTTCTGGGCAGTCTACCAGTTGCATTGTTCAGTGGTGGTAAACTCAGATGTTCAGAATGTTAAACTAGACTTGATTGGCCTTTAACTACTGGGATAATTATTAGTTATGAAAGTTGTTATGTAACTAATGCAGATTGTTCTCTTCCTGACTTGTTATCAGTCTGACTCTGCTCCTTTGACCCAGGTTCAACTGTCCACTTGAAGGTTGGAGGTAATAGGACACTTTGGAGGTTGGAATCCACATTTTGAGATTGAGGAACTTTTCAGATATCCCAGACACAGGATGAAAGCGTTTTCTAAGAAGCTAAATGCTAATAATCATCACACTGAGGAAGAGGAGGGACATAATATTTTGACACGGTTTGGTTAAGTTCAACAAGAGTTAGTGGCTTTTGCAGAATTTTAGGTTATTGTGTTCCAAGAACCAAAATCAGTCTTTGTTTTATTTAATTATTGTTTTAACTTTGTGTCAGTGGTGGATAATGCCTGTGTGCCTGCACAATAAGTCGCCACTGATGAAACCTCTAATGTGGAGTATTGAAAAAAGTACATTAATTTGTACGGTGTGTCTGTGTTTTCACAAATAATTGTGGAAAAATACTTTAAACTACTGTTTAAGCTGTCTTGAACACCTACATTAACTAAAAGAGAGTTGGATTACTGTAATCAAGGTCAAGTGTCTGGAGATAAGATTTAATGGTTAGGGTGAAATTTCTACGTGACTAAGCAGTGTTATATCATGTGCAACCCTGAACGTTATTGCTTTATGGCATGCAGTGTGTCAATGTGAAAAGGGTTGAATCCTCATTTTGAACCAAACCACAAACAAAATGACAAAGTGAAAGAGGAATAAAAATTTCTGCAGTCAATGAACTAATGTAACCACAGATGTTCTAAATTATATTTTACAGTATTGAGCCAGAGGGAAACAATGTACCAAAAGTAATTGGTTCCAGTCCTGGAATGGAGGACAAACAACCCCTCATTCATTTGGTTTATAACCCAGCACTTTTCCAAATAGTTGGATGGTGTTGTGTTACTTTGGGAAATGGGTCGCACTGTTGTTCTGTCTTTTGTCTGGGATCAAATAGACAATCTCATGAATATACGGTACATAAACATTCACCCTCTGATTATCTACTTTGGTTACCAGCTCACATTTTCTTTACAGTGTGAGATTTTCTCACTTACTTGTTGAAATAGGTTGAGCTTGTCCCGCCCCCCCCCCAGTGATCCTCAAACAAGAACTCCGTGTTTCAGGTAGAGGTGCAAATACTGAACGTAATTCAAAATACATTTTCATTTCGCTGACTGAAACCTGCCAGATCTAATGATAAACATGACTATTGTGGAGTCAGATTAGATGAGACAAATGTTACTGAATAAATACTCCACTTCAGTGATGTCATTTTTAATTATGTATGTTCTAAAAAAAATTCAAACAAATGTTCAGTTTTAGTCCTTAGAGTAAATGAAACACTGCCGAAGATTTACCCAGAGACCACTGGGACATCATCTGGAAACACTTCAGCTCTGTTTGCTGGAATGTTCAGTGAAGAAGACAAAAAGCACAGTTCTCTCACTTTGCTCTCAGGATCAGAGGTCAGCTCTGTCTTTCAAAGATCCACAACATGAATGGGTGGTCATTTGCACACTGGGGGTTATGTGCCCCCCTCCTTCTATAACATCATTGGTCCAGCATGAGAGACGCCTCTGAATTGTGACCAATAAGAGAGCACAACATCAGTGACTTACCTCTGGTCTGAATTAAAACAAACAGGCTGTTATGATGACAGGGTGGAGGGTGCAGCAGGGGAGGAGAGTTGTCTGAACTTAGTTGTGTTTTTTGTGTGTGTCCATGCTGTTCATAACATCTGTTGTCAACACTGTATATGTGTGTGTCCTTGTGCATCTCCCTGTGATACTGCGTCCTTCCTCAGTGATCACAGCTGCTTTAGAGATTATTTTTCCTGAAATGTTATATTGTTATTGGCCCAGCTGACAGTAATCCTATCTGCTTTTCCCTGGAAGAAAGTAGTCTCCTGCCAGCAACACAAAATGAGATCTTGATGTGTTGTTCCTTGGTGTAATACTGGTATCCTACATTCTGAGAAGGTCAAAGAGCTCTGTGTAATGTATGTCTCCGTGTTCATTTATCAGAAGCCACTGTTATCAGTCTGATAAGTTGGTGTATTGAGGTCAGTTCTTTGTTTCCGTGTCTAAACATAACACTGGCATCTTGGTCATGCGGCTGAGTCAGTTATAGTGCAGGGGCATGAACCCACGCATACATTGACAGAAGGGGTGTAGCAGGGGTCACCGACCTTTTTGAAACTGAGAGCTTCTTCAAGGGCACTTAGTAATACAGAGAGCTACTTGTTTAATGCAGACTTCACAAACAATGTAAGAATAATTAGTTCAATAGCAGACACTCTTCTTACCATCGTCATTGCACCCATTTGAATATCGTTGCAGGTGTAACTGATTCAAAAAACACAGTAACACAGTACAGTTTTTGACCCTCCTGTTGACTAGTTTTATTTTAAGAACATAGCCTGTGGACACCGTAGGTAGTCCATGGGTGCTACGTTGGTGACCCCCCACTGTTTATATTAAGTAAATAATAAAAAATGTTAAAAACCATAAGCTCACATGTGAGGTCACTATTGTTTTTAAACTATTTAATGTAGAATATGCAGTATTTTCTTTGCGCCTGTGATAGCCTTGTCATGAACACTGACGTGTCTCAAAGCGGTTCCTGTAGAGACTCCAAAGGAAAGGAATGCTATAATTCTTTTAATTATTCTGTTCACCAGAGTTGTGGTGTAATTACTGCTTCAGCCAAACCATTGAGTGTGTGACTCCTGGAACTCTCAGTCCTGGATTTTTTCGGCTCAAAGCATCAAGTGTTTATGAAAACCCATTTTTTTTACTTTTGCAAATTATGTGTTCATAATCTGCAGGGCATGAAGAAACCTTTCGCTGAAGTTATCAAGGCAAACATCGGTGATGCACACGCCATGGGACAGCAGCCAATAACCTTCTTCCGACAGGTTTGTTGTCAAGACCTTTTAGTCAAACCGGCATCTAAAATGTTTGTTGTACTGTAGCTCTTTTAGAGTTTCTTTTTCAAAGACTACCAAGTTTTAAACTTGTGTTTTAAAGGTTTGTTTTTTTTTTGTAGCAATGTAATATATTTCCAGCCTTTATCTCACATCGATTCTTCTCTTTTAAAGGTCTTGGCTTTGTGCTCCTACCCTGAGCTATTGAATGACAACACTTTCCCTGAGGATGCTAAAAGTAGAGCACACCGCATTTTACAGTCCTGCGGTGGGAACAGTATGGGTGTGTACCTTATTGACTGCACTGTATAGCTTAATATTTAACTATTTAACATGAACTCACTTCCAGGTGGGGCTGTGGCCCTGGGTTATGGCCTTGAGGCTCTGTAGTAATGTTTATCATCTCTGTTTGAATCTCAGGCTCCTACAGTGCCAGTCAAGGCATTGAATCGGTTCGTAAGGATGTGGCTCTGTACATTGAGAGAAGGGATGGGGGCATGCCCTGTGACCCTGACAACATCTACCTCACTACAGGGGCCAGCGACGGCATTGTGGTACAAAACACATTTTGGAGTCTTGAGATTTGAATCATTTTTTTAAGTGTGGTAACAATTTCAGATACTTCTTAAAATGTTTTGCTCCTACTGGTTTTCCAAGTCTTATCAAATATGCAACTGACATGGAATTGAACTTTTATCCCCTTGAGGTCCATTTGTCTTTATCATTTGATCAGCTACTTCAGTGAGTTCATGTGGCTTGTGAGGTTAAGCTCAAAGGAATATTTTATTGTCTCAAAGTCATTAAAATGTATTTTAAATTACATCAAGGGAATGTTAAATGAACTCCTAAACCCAGCTGAGGTCTGTTTGTTGACCTCCTTCTCAGACCATGCTGAAGCTGCTGGTGTGTGGTGAAGGTGCCAGCCGTACTGGCATCATGATCTCCATACCACAGTATCCCCTGTATTCAGCTGCACTGGCTGAACTCGGTGCTGTGCAGATCAACTACTATTTGAATGAAGAAAACTGCTGGAGTATGGACATAAATGAACTGCAGCGCGCCCTGAATGAAGCTAGGGAGTACTGCAACCCAAGAGCCCTGTGCATCATCAACCCTGGAAACCCCACAGGTGAACACAGCTCTTTCCAAAAACATAACTGCATAGGATTAATAAGCCTGCAGCTAACAATAACCTGCAAAGTTAATACATAATAATTTAAATAAATATAAATATTTTTTTTTACTTGGTCCATAAACAAAGGGCCACTGTGAATATGGAGATCAGTGTATACTTACCTTTAAATAACATCTTAACCTGCTGTTCTAAGGTCAAACCAGATCTTGTTTTACTGTCACTGCCAAGTATTATCTATAAAATATGCCCATTTGAACTATAAAATTGATTGAACCTTTTTTGTGTATAAAAACAAACTTCTTTATTTTTCCACAAATCACAGTATTTGTTTTATTGTATTGATAGTTTTTTAGCCTAAAATATATCTAAATGAAGCCCTTAATTATAGAATTTATATAGAGTATATTCTTGTTTAATCTTCATCGGGAGCCATAGCCTAATAAACGTGCTACTAACACGACCCACCAGATGGCAGCACTGTGACATAACAGTAATTTATCCCCTACTCCCCCTTCTGTACTCTTCCAGGTCAGGTCCAGAGCAGACAGTGTATTGAAGATGTGATACGGTTTGCAGCAAAGGAGCGTCTGTTTCTCATGGCTGATGAAGTAATTCACTTATTTCAATATATGTCTGTTTTGTTGTTTATTTTTATTCTAACATATATGTATATTGAAGTATCTCATCTGTACTTTGTCCTACGGTGTCTCTAGGTGTACCAGGATAATGTGTATGCAGATGGTTGTGAGTTCCACTCTTTTAAGAAGGTTCTGTTTGAGATGGGACCAGAGTACTCCAAATCTGTGGAACTGGCATCCTTCCACTCCACCTCCAAATGCTACATGGGAGAGTAAGTCATGGTCACAAATCTATGCAAGGATAAATCTGTCAAGGAAGCCAGAATCTTTTTTTCTTCTTCTTCTTCTTCTTTTCATTTCTAATGTATAATTACAACCTCATGTCAGATGTGGCTTCCGCGGAGGCTACATGGAGATCATCAACATGGACGATGAAGTGAAGGTCCAGCTGACCAAACTGGTGTCGGTCCGTCTGTGTCCTCCTGTTCCTGGCCAGGCTCTGATGGACCTGGTGGTCAATCCTCCACAGCCTGGAGAGCCTTCGTATGACAGCTTCCTCAAGGTACACGGTCTACGTTCTCCAGCCCACGCTGTTCAATCTCAGTCCAACAGGTCATCAGTAACCAGTGTATGTTAGGATTTAGGTTTAAAAGAGAGGGAATTGTCTTTGAACTAATAAATAAGCCTGAGAAATTTGTGATTTGAACTATATCACTAATCAGAAATGTTACCTTTGCGTTTAGACATACATTACTGAGACAGTTTTTTTTGAGCTTTTAGACTTTGTGGAGCCTAATAAGACAGACAGTTACGTCTGATCTGTCAGTCTGTCTCTGAGGTTGCAGTTGAAATGAGGACGGGTTTCTGGTACCTTACTGTTTCCCTTTGCTTTGCATTCACTTTTTTCTCCCTCTCTGTCTTTCAGGAGCGCACAGCCACTTTAAATGCTTTGGCAGAGAAGGCCAAACTCACAGAGCAGGTTCTCAACACTGTGCAAGGCATCAGCTGTAATCCTGTACAGGGGGCCATGTACTCCTTCCCCCGCATTATCATCCCAGAAAAGGCCATCAAAGAGGCCATGGTCAGTGTCCATGCTTCTCATTATGAAAGCACAAAAAGAATGATACAGTTACACAAGATTTTTTTTTATTTTTATTATTTAGACTCAATTACTGGCTGTTATTTAAAGCACTTGTCATTTTTTCTTTTTATACGTCTGAAAAGCCCTGGGTCACATTCATTATATATCACAATTTACTGCATAATCACACTTCACACACTGCATGATACAGGATAACACAACTCAAACAACTGCATTATTCGTTTACCTCTCCGTTTACTAAAGGGAACAATTGATTTCCGTTGGCTGGTGGTTTCAACTCTGTCCTGTGGTTGACTGCTCAGTAGGAATATCATGAAGGGCGGCGGAGGCATGCCACCAGGGAAAAGATTAGACTTAGAGAGGATAAGGTCAGAATAAAGCTGATCTACTGACACCCAATCAATCTCAGTGACTCTGTGATAACATCCACATTGCACCTGTATGGCATTACCTTATTTTCTGAGGCGATCCCAAACTGGTGCTTTGAATTCAGCATTGTCACAGGGAGAAGCGACTGTGCATTTAATGAAGCCTGGCTTTGGGAAAGACAGCAAAACATGTTCTTTTACAACTTTAATTTGTTTTTTAAGAATACAGAGATAAAAAAAAAAGTTCAATTGAAATTTGTAAACAAAAGCAAAATGTACATGTGTATGTAAATGTACATGTATCTATATGTATATAAATATATATATAAATGTGTATACATATTTTACATACACACGTATATAGTTTTCCCATCAAAAGTCTCAAAACCTGAAAGATGGTAAGATTAATCGAAGGTAACTATTTTTTTATTTTTTTTGTACCCTCCTCAGGCACTTGGTCAGCAGCCGGATATGTTTTACTGCATGAAGATGCTGGAAGAGACTGGAATCTGTCTGGTACCTGGAAGCGGCTTTGGTCAGAAGGATGGCACATATCACTTCAGGTACAGTGCATAGTAATATAGATAAATAATTAATCCATCGCCAAAAAGATAAGAAATTCCTCTCTCCCGTATCCGTATGTCATTTTGTCATTTTGTCTTTTTCCTCTGCTGCCAGGATGAC